TGATGTAAGAGGATCAGCCGAATATCTTCACGACACCAAGAAGTCCAAGCAACAGGCCAGAGTCACTGTCCAGTACAAAACCACCACCAGGTATGAACAGCTGACCATGAGCCACCTAGGAATCCAGAATATCTCCCACCCAGCAGTCTTTGAGCATGGCACGGCCACCCATGTGGTCACCGCCATCCTCTACGGAGCCCAGGCTTTCTTCGTGTTTGACCGAGAGGATTCTTCAACAGAAAGGGTAAAAAATGTAGAAGGAAGTCTCCAGGTCACAATCCAGAAGATGATATCCATCACAGGACAAGCAGATATGAAGCTAAACGAGGAAGAGAAAAAGAATGCTCTGAAGTTCAGTTGCACGTTCCATGGAGACTTTTCTCTGGAGAAAAATCCAGTGACCTTCCAAGATGCCATGACAATTTATGAGACTCTGCCAAAAATGTTAGGGGAAGATGGGGAGAAGGCTGTTCCTGTGTGGGTCTCGCTCTATCCACTGACCAAGCTGGACCCCAGAGCAGCTAAGATGGTCCGTGAGATTAGCCTAGCGTTGATCTTTGATGTTGAAAGCATCTTGGAGGAACTCGACGAAATCCAGATGCAAAGTAATGATCTAGCCAAGGATCCCATTTGTGACACCTTCCCTGAGATCAAGAAGAAGATCCAGCAGCTCAAGAATCTGTTAAAGCAACACAGGCAGATGTTCCAGAAACAGCTGGCCAGAGTGTTGCCTTCCATCCGGGGTGGAGGACAGGAGGAAGGGATCCTGGTGGACATATTAATGTCCGTCAACCAGTCACCCTTTAACAATCAAAGGCTCTATGAATTTCTGGACACCAAGAAAAGAGAAATTAACTTTGTCAAATCTTACCTCACTATTCTAAGTGAAGTGCAAGTTGTCTCATCTCGGAACAAGCTGGAGGAAATAGTTCTGGACCCCCAGAATGTATACGTGGTCTCCTTTATTTTCACCTCTTTGTATACAAAGGAGCCATTTCTGTTGAGCTTACAGGACTGGCTTCAGGAGCAATTCTTGCACGAATCAGCTAAGTCCACAAAGTCCACCCCTGGGCAGGAAGAAGACATGGCCTGGTATGAGAACAAGGAGTGGACCCGGAATGCTCGCCAAGCTGCCAAATCCATTCAAGACTTTTTCAGTATCAACCAATCGAATAAGAAGGTCCGCTTTGTCGTGGCCTCACTCCCAGATGTGGACACACCAGGAGCCTCAATATACCTTTATGAAGATGGAGAGCTGGTCAGCAAGAACTTTGAGTTGCCCTCAAAACCTCTTCCTTTCCTGATTGATGAACTGAGACATGACAGCATTCAGCTGAAGTTTCAGCCAGCTGAATGTGGAAGGGCTACAATCTCCAGCTATCTGGTAGAGTACAAGATTGCAGGGGAAGAAAACTGGAAGACCGTGAGTACAGAGAACACCAGAGAGACGTTCCTGCTGAAAGATCTACCTCCAAACACAGAGTACCAGTTCCAGTACGCTGCTTGTTGCAAGCTGGGCCTTAGTAAAACCAGTGACCTAGGCCCACCCATAAAGACCCTTCCCACCAGCCCTCCTGAGAAATTAAGAAAGGTCACTGCAGCATCTTTTGTCATCTCTGTGGCCTGGATGAGTCCCAGAATCGTTGCCTCAGGAGTTGTAGTCAAGGAGTACAAGATGGAGTACAGAACAGTGGAGGCTGGAGATGGGAAGGACCACTGGACTGAAAAAAGGACTGGGAGAAAAACAGAGCTGTACCCCATTGAAGGTCTAAAGCCCCAGACGGCGTATAGAATACGGGTGTCTGCCATGTGTGATAATGGAGCTCTGGGTGTCCCCAGTGAGGAGGTGGAGATCTCCACATCACTGGAGGAAGAAGATGCAGACAATGTAGCCCACCAGTTCCTTGAGGAAAGCTCCCTAGTGGAGGAGAAACAACCATTTGTGTTTGCCCTTCCTCTGGAGAAAATCCCCTCAGATGCCTCCACCTCCTCACTCCTGTACCAGCTTGGAAAGGAGAACCTGGAAGTGCCCAATAAAGTGATCCTGGTGATGGGAGCAACACAGTCTGGGAAAACCACTCTGATCAACGGGATGATCAATTATATCCTGGGTGTCCAGTGGGAAGATAATGTCCGATTCAAACTCATTCATGAAACCATCCAGAGAAGCGAAGCTGGAAGCAGGACGTCTGAAGTCACAGCCTACGTGGTGAACCATCAGAAGGGTTTTCAAATTCCCTATTCTCTCACAATAATCGACACTCCAGGATTTGGAGGCACCAGAGACGCAGAGCAAGATAAACTGGTTGAGAAGCATCTCCGAGAGTTTTTCTCCACCCCAGGGGGCATTGACCACGTTGATGCCATCTGCTTGGTGGCCCAGGCCTTCCTTGCCCATTCAATTCATGCCCAGAAATGCGTCTTTGATTCCATGCTCTCCCTGTTGGGAAAAGACGTGAAGGATAATGTCCAACTCCTGATCACCTTTGCAGATGGGGGGACCCCACCTGTCCTGGAGGCCCTGAAGGAAGCTGACTTACCGTGTGCTCGGGATGAGTCGGGAACCCCTCTGCACTTCAGATTCAACCATTCAGCCCTCTTTGCTCACCTAGAAAACGGAGGAAGCCTTAATGCTGCTGCTGAAATGTTCTGGAAAATGAGCACCGAGAGCATGAAGAACTTATTTGACTCGTTAAAGAAGCTGGAAAGGAAAAGTTTAGCCTTGACCGTGAAGGTCCTCCAGGAACGTCTGGAGCTGGAAGCTGCTCTTAGAAGACCTCCCTCTCTTAAGGTTGAACCAGTCCCGCCAAATAGTTTCCAGATCAGTATTGATCCAGTCACCGTTGGGAAGCCTTCAGTCTCCAGGTACCAGGTGGAATATCAGATCGCAGGAGAGGAAAATTGGAAAAGTCTCTATATTGAGGGCCCTCAGGTTCAATTCGCCGTGGAAGATGACCATTTAAATCTCCAGTACGAATTCCGATGCGCTGCTGTGACTCAAGTAGGGCTCAGTCAATGGAGCAAGGCAGTCACCTGCATCTGTCCTACTCGGAGGCCGGAAAAGGTGAGGAGGAGCAGAAGAAGAAGGATGGGGAAGAGGAGGAGAAGGGGAGGAAGAGGAGGGAAGGAGAAGGAAGAATTAGAATAGAATAGAGCTGAAAGGGACCTTGGAGATCTTCTAGTCCAGCCCCCTGCTCAATTAGGAGAATCTACTCTAGGCAATTTCTGAATATACTATGAACCACCACTTCGCTACCTCCAATGGGAGGGAGGCAGGAGGGGGGGAATAGGTGGAGGGGAGGAGGGGGATGGGGAGGAGGNGAGAGGAAGGGGAGGGGGAAGAGGAGGAGGAGGGGGGAGGGGGAAGAGGAGGGAGAGTGGGACGAGGGGTGGAGAGTGAGGGGAGGAGGGGGAGGAGGAAGAGGAAGAGGAGGAAGGGGGAGGAGGAAATAACCTGACATACTGCAGTTTTGGGAACCTCCGCCTCTTCTCCCCCACTTGAAATCTGCGTTACCAGAGACACACACCCCCCCAGAATCCCTGCCAACTCAAGACTCCCCAGCCACCTTTTCACCACCCTGTTTTTCTTCCCCACCAGGCTCAGACAGAATATGGACAAAGTTACGGTCGGGGTAAGATTCCTTATTTCAATGTCTTATAAACATTCTTCTGCCGCTTTGGGGTCAGAAGCTTTGATGCAATGTTCACACGTGCTCCTGGAGAGCTTTTAGAACAAGAGGTTCAGAGGTGGTAACAGGATTTCAAGGTTGGGCAAGAGGGGGGGGGGAAAGGAGGAATGGTTGGACCCTCCTCCCGGCTGGCTGGAAATCATGGAAAGTCTTCCAGAGAGCCTTTTTTTTTTATTATTATTGATGAAAGTAAATTCCCATCCCACCTCACCCCATTCCATTCTGCACCACTATGGCCCATCACAGAATGGAATGGGGTGGGATGGGGTCAGAATCTGCACGGCTGAGCAGCCCATTTTAGCAGCTCTGGGAGATTCACAAAAAAACATCCCTGAACCGCTTCAGGGCAGGGGTGACTCTTTTCCAAAATTGTCTCCGTTTCCAGCCTGCTCAATGACGCCCCGACATGTTGGATCACGGCCACACATTTCTTCCCAGGCACGGGTGAAATGTCTCAATTCCTTTGTGTAACAATGTCTTCCAAACTCACAGGGGAGGACGTCGAACTCCGACTCATCCTGGTGGGAAAGTCCAGAGTAGGGAAGAGCGCCACAGGCAACACCATCCTCGCCCGGAAAGAGTTCGAGTCCCTGGGGGGAAAAGCCACCACCGTGAGGTGCCAAAGGGGTCAAAGAAGATGGCAGGACAGGAAGATCTCCGTGGTCGACACACCCGACATTTTCAATTCCGAAAACCACAGTGAGATGGTGCAAAATGAGATCAGGGCTTGCGTCGAACTCTCCCGGCCTGGCCCCCACGCCCTGATCTTTGTGACCCAGGTGGGGCGCTTCACCGCCGAAGATGTGACAGCTGCAAAACGGGTCTGGGATATCTTTGAGGCCGAGTCGGCCAGGCACACGATCGTCCTCTTCACCCGCAAGGAGGATTTGAGAGGGGAATCCCTGCAGGAGTACCTCCAAAAGCTGGACAACCGCAATGTGCGGGAGCTGATCCAGAGGTGTGGGAACCGCTACTGTGGCTTCAACAACATGGCCGCAGGAGTCGAGTGGCAGGCGCAGGTCTCGGAGCTGATGGAGATGGTGCAGGGAGTCGTTTTCGAGAACGGGGGGAGACACTACGTCAACTGGCTTTACCAGTGGTCCCTTCAGAGCATCTGAACCCTTCCCCCGTTAGCTGAGTGGCTCCAGAACAGCTTCTGGGCGATGCCTTGAATGGGGTGGGGGACCAGGCCGCAGTTCCTAGGCATAAACTGGGTGGCAGCTGGCTCCCTTCCCCACTGGACACGCCGAGGCCTCTGGGAGTCGTGACCCCTGTCTGACCGGTGTTTCCTTTGTACTCTTCTAGGCAGCCATGCATGAGGAGGCCACGCCGGGTAAGTGAGGAGGGAGGCTGAAGAGCAACAAAGAAGATTAGGGGGCTGGAGGCCAAAACATTGGACGAACGGATGCAGGAATTGGGGTTTGGCCAGTCTAGAGAAAAGGACTGGGGGGGGAGGACACAATAGCAGCATTCCAATATTTGGGGGGCTGCCACAAACAGCACTCCTCACTAGCCCTGATGACGTTCCCTAGTTGGGTCATGAAATGTCTGCAACGAAGCCATCAAGCTCAGAGAGCACCAGGAACCGCACAGTCGTCGTCGTCGTCATCGTCGTCCTCCTCCTCCTCCTCCTCCTCCTCCTTTATATATATACTGATCTTGAGGCAGACAAGGTGCTGCCTGAAATCTAGAGTCAAACACAAGCTAAAGATCAGTCTGGATGAGACACGCACACACCAACACACATCCTCGGCTTCTATCCAGTTCCAGATTCCGTGATTGATGCTCATCTTCGTCCTATGGATGGAAAATGACAAGAAGTGACGATGGAAGGTACGGCAGCAGGGAGACATTGACGTAGGACGGGTCTCTTAGCACAGTGGCCCCCAAACGCTTGGGCACCAGGGACCGGTTCCGTGGAGAGGGGTTTTTCTGTGGACCAAACTCCTGGCAGTGGGCAGAGTTTGCCTGCAATGCTGCATTCTACCCACTGGGCCACCCGCGATCATGGTGGTGCAATAGAGGCTGTTGAGCAGGGAGTCCGACTAGAAGACTTCCAAGGTCCCTTCCGACGTTACGCCCGTACCCATCGTCACTCAGCACATACCAGCAGCCCTGAGCCTCCTCACACTCAGACTCCATTTGCTTGGCTCCCTCTTTGCTCGTGGGGGCTGGACACTGTGGCTATATTCGGACATCTGCTAAAGTGGGATTCGCATGTTGTGGGAATCTGCATGGCTGAGTAGCCCATTTTAGCAACTCCGGGAGATTCATATGAAAATATCACTGAACCACTTCCGGGCAGGGGTGACTCTTTGCAAAGTTGTCCCCATTTCTAGCCTGCTCAATGACACCCCGACATGTTGTGAGAAATATCTCGATTCCTTTTTGTAACGTCGTCTTCCAAACTCACAGCGGAGGACGTCAAACTCTGGCTGATCCTGGTGGGAAAGTCCGGAGGCGGGAAGAGCGCCACAGGCAACACCATCCTCGGCCGGCCGGTGTTTGAGTCCATCCTGCAGCCAAACACCACCACCCTGAAGTGCGAAAGGGGTCAAGGAAGGTGGACAGAACAAATAGTCAGGAAATTCTTGCTTAATTCCAGATTGCTTCTCTCCTTGATTAGTTTCCATCCGTTGCTTCTTGTCCTGCCCTCAGGTGCTTTGGAGAATAGCTTGACTCCCTCTTCTCTAGGGCAGCCCCTGGAAGACGGCTATCATGTCTCCCCTAGTCCTTCTTTTCATTAGACTAGACATGCCCCGTTCCTCCAACTGTTCTTTGTATTCTTCAGCCTCCAATCCCTTGATCATCTTGAACCTTTTAGAAAAATCCCATCAGATTTTCAATCTGTGAATCAGTGGGACTCAGTGGTGTTGGTTGACAGCTGAAATCCGAAAGATTCAGTGAACCAAATAGATTTTGACTGAATGATTGAATTGTGGGAAGTCAACCCCCCCCCCCAGAGAAAGAAATATTCTTGGAAATATTTAAAAGGCAGAATATATTTCCCTAAAGGATTTTAAAGACAGAAACCAACCCCCCCCCCCCCAAGTCTCTCTGTCCCAAACAGAAACCAAGTCTGCAGAAATGCAGATGTGATAATCTTGTCAGAAAGACTGGAGGCAGGAAACTGAGATTAGGAAGAAAGATTTATTTATTTTATTTATTTATAATTTGATTTATATCCCGCCCTTCTCCTCACCGGACTCAGGGCAGCTAACAGCCTTATAAAACAACATTACAACAAATATCAATATTAATTAGATCCCTAGAATCAACAATCCCTCACACCAAAAATCGAAGAGTCATCAGCCCCAGCCCCAGGGAAGCAGGATATGACCTTTGGGACATAATAGGATTCATTGGCATCCTTCAGTCTCGAGAGACTATGGTATCGTGCTCTGAAAAGAGGTCCTAAGGCAGCATCTGGTGTGGCTAAAAAGGCCAATTCGAAAATGGCAGACCCTTCCACACTGAGGGCAGATACAATCTGTCCCCTGTCCAGCCCCCAGATTCCGCTGGTTCCGGGACTGCCTTTTTGCCTCAGCCTGCCGCACAAGTGTCTCTTCGAATTGGAGAAGGCCATGCTGCGTCTTTAGCCTCCAGGCTGAACGATCAGAGGTCAAGGATTCCCAGCTGTTAATGTCCATTCCCAAGGCCTTTAGGTCCCTCTTGTAGATATCCTTGTATTGGGGCTCAGGTCCCTCTGGGGTGCTTTCCCTGCACTAGTTCTCCATACAGGAGATCCGACTATCAGCCATTCTCAACAGGGTCATGAAATGTCTGGGCACAGGGGCACCAGGGGAGCAAAGGAAATGTGTGTGTGAGCCAGTGTAGACATCACTGTTTCAATAGTGTATACATGCTAGAGATTCCAGCACATTCCAGGACTGCGCTATTTGGGACTTTGTCATGCCACGTGATGCCGAGAATACTTCGGAGACAGCGCATATGAAAGGTGTTCAGCTTCCTCTCCTGCCGTACGTGAAGGGTCCAAGACTCACTGCAGTACAAGTGTGTGCTCAAGACGCAGGCTCTATAGACCTGGATCTTTGTATGTTCTGTCAACTTCTTATTAAGCCATACTCTCTTTGTAAGTCTGGAAAATGTGGTGGCTGCTTTACCAATACGTTTATTCAGCTCAGTATCTAAAGAGATAGTTGAGCTGAGGTACACAAAGTCATGGACAGTTCCTGTGCAGAGATTGTAATACAGGGAGGTGGATCCACATCCTGACCCATGACTTGTGTTTTTTTCAGGCTGATTGTTAGACCAAAGTCTTGACAGGCCTTACTAAAACAGTCCATAAGTTGTTGAAGATCTTCGGCAGAGTGAGCAGTAACGGCAGCATTGTCAGCGAAGAGGAAATCCCATAGGCATTTCAGCTGGACCTTAGACTTTGCTCTCAATCTAGATTAAAGAGTTTGGTGGTTGGTTAATCCTATTATTATTATTAAAACTCTTTAATAATAGGACTGATAGATAGATAGATAGATAGATAGATAGATAATTTAATTTGTATACCGCCCTTCTCCCATAGGACTCAGGGATTAACCCACCACCATCAGAATACCAGAAAGGTACACTCAAGCTCAGGTCAAAGTTAATGCCACAGGAACAACTCCAAACAAAAGGCTCCAGAGGATATAAAAACCCACCCCCTACGTGCTCACTCTCTTTTCTTCCAGAGCCATCTTTCCATCTGGCCCTCCTCTTCAATAAACTGCAACCTTCTTTCTAAAGCAGTCGCCATGTTGTTTATTCCTGACTTGGGCTGAACCATGATGACTTTTCCTTCAACAATTTGGCATCCCAGATGGGACTCCAAGTTTACCTCTCCAATGGACTGAGATTGGTAAGCCCCATCTTGCCGGCAGCAGACTTCTTGTGTCTGTGGATGGGTTTCCCAGGTCCTGCCCATGTGGAGCCAGGGTAGTAAAGGGAGTTTTGGGTTTGAGCTCAAGGGCTGCTTTGGAAAGAAGGTGAAGGTTAGTACCTCTCAATTTTAACTTTAAAGCCCAGGGGAGCAAAGGAAATGTGTGTATGTCTGTGTGTGTGAATGAGAAGACCATTTTCCCAATCACAGTTGGATTTTGCTCCCTCTGGTCTTTCCTAACCGCAGAAAGGATCTGTTCAAGTGGCAGACCCTGGAAAGTATGGGGGTTTGGCCAGAGTGCAGGATCTTTTGTTAGGGAAAGGGAGAGGCTGTGTGAAAATGGAATGAGTGAATGAGAGAATTGTATTTGGGCAACCAGCTGGTAAGGCCCTGTAAGCAAAGCCCCAAGTTAGGAAATTAAGCCCTGGGCTAGGAATATCCCTTACCTCTGGAAAGCAAGCAGAGATCCTCCTGGACATTTGAAGTCCGCAAACGGTGGTGAAAAGTGAAGGTAAAGCCAGTAAGAGAGCGTCCCGTACCTTCTGCAGGGGAGCAGAAGAGTCCTCGACAGACCCCTTTTTGGTCTGAAACCGTGGTGGTAGATCCCTAAAGGAGCATCCAGTACTCTGTGAGGGATCCAGAGTCCTCTGTGGGTCCCTTTTTGACCCAAAACCGTGGTGGTAGGCGGAAGTCTCACTAGGAGCTTCAGTGCGCCAGACCCGATAGAACCAAAGTGAACCCCTGCATCAGGAATAAGGGAATCATGGGGTATTCTAGTTCAAGGGTCGAGATTGGCTCCCCAGTAAAAGCTTCCTTGAGGTCTGGGACAGGAATCAGCTACCAGTTCAGGCAGGTATGAAAAAGATAGGTAGAGAAACTATTTAAAAAAAATGGACTTTGCTCAGGGCTTTGCTGGGAAACCAATTTGGCTAAATAAAGGTAGTTAAAGGGGAAATAAGAAATAGTGATATTCTGGAGCTTCCGGTGGCAGGCGACTTCGTCGGACGCAGCTGTTTGCTGCCTCCCGCCTGTTTCAGCGTAAAAGCCGTTTTGACAGCCAGCATCAGCTGTCAAACGGCTTGATACCTTTCCCCTGGGCATAAGGGGATCGGTGAGCTGCCCGGGGTAGGAGTTGAGTTCCCGAGTCGTCCCTTGTGGACGATGCAGGTGAGAA